AGTTAAATAAAAGAAAAGAAAAACATTGTAGAGGATCCAACTAAAGTCATCTGTCTAATCCGAAGCTTTAAATGATGTAGTTGATTCTAAAAGCTATTTTGTATTTTCTCAGGTTGTCTTTGCTATTAAAGCTCCACATCGTAACTCTGTATTCAAATTTATTGATATTTATTGGTGCTTTCACTGAACAAATAGTGGTGAAAATAGTAAAACTATCAATCCCGACGATGTGGACAGTTTTGTTGGGTTTTGCACATCATTATTTGGAATTTAGCGATAGATCAAAAAATCTCATCATAAGAAATTTATCACGATAAGGGAGAAACGATATGACAAATGCCCCTACCATGACGTAATTCTCATTGTACTCTGTGCCAGAGTTGCAAACATTTCAGACATATTAACCTGCACTTGTCTTGTTCTTTGCCTGTCTGCTTCACAGCCTGCTCCTGCCACCCTGTTGGCTCGGTGCCCTCAGCCGGTGGCACCATCTGTGGCCCCAGCACCAGGGAATGCACTTGTAAGCCTGGTGTGGGAGGCCCCCACTGTGACAAGTGCATAATGGGATACTGGGGGCTTCACGAGTATGGCTGCCGTCCATGTGACTGCACGGGAGACTGCGACCCCTACACCGGTGACTGCGTCTCTGGGTGAGAGCCTAAACGTATTAATCAGTATAAATAAATTAAGCTAGGGCAATACATTACTGTGAAGGGATATATATATATATATAATTTTTTTTTTTTTTTTTTTTCTGTATTAACTCTGAATAGTGTTGCGTCTAATTGGCTTTTACCTCTGCTGTGCAGCGGAGATGCTGAGGTCCTCTATGCAGCTGCTGGAAACCCAGGAAACACCAGCAACGATAGAGAGACAGCGCTATCAAGAGCAAAGGAGCTTTTCTCTGCACTGCACCACTCTGGTGAGGAACCAGTCACCTGTTTCCATCCAGAAATCAGTTGAAGAAAGTCCCCTTCAATATTGATCATGGTGTGATATTTTGTGCTGCAGAGAAATGTGAATGTGTCGAAGGTACCCTGGGCAGCCCTAAATGGTTCTGCGCAGCTAAGTTTGACTATGGTAAGCAGAAATCTGTGATTATTCAGAACTGTGTAAGACAGCCATTACACAGAGGGCAGGCAACCGTATAATCCAGACGTAATTAAAAAGATGAGGCGTTACATGTTGGCAGTGTTGATATTATTAAACTAAATGTACATAGATTAAAAAAAACAGAAGCATAAACTTTGGATGCCTAACCTGTTTTATTCATATGTTTTTCAATGAAATGCTCTGGTGTAAAAAAAAAAAAAAGTCTTTGTAGCCATACCTCACTGAAAATAAATTAGAATATTATTAAAAACCCTGTTTATTTTAGGAACCTTATCATCAACTGAAACACATTATGTAGATTAATTTTTAAGAGTGACATTTAAACCTAGAATACAGATCAGATCGATAAGAAAGCTTTTCTTTTTTTTTAAAGTATGTTTAATGCCTATTTTATTTTCAAAAAGTACTTTTAATCTGACAAATGAGGCTCATTGGGCCGAATATTCAGATTTATTGAATATGACTGTATTTAGAGGACTAAATATTGTTTGAAACTAGAAAAAAAAGTTGTTTTTCAGGCACAAAAGAACTGAAACAGGACAATGTGGGATTAATTATTTGCTGCTTATTGAAACTCAGGGAAGTTTGAAGTGAACTCTCACCCACAGTACCGGTACAGTGACATCATTTCACTCTGATGTGTTGTTTGTGAGCATAAAGTTAATCAGACAGGAAAATGAGTTGTTTCATTCTGGTTTTTACTTTTAAGTGTCCTAAAATATCTGATGGCATCCCAAAACGACTTAACCCAAAAGAAACAATCCAGATGTTGTTTACCATAGAAGTCTGTATAAATGAAATTAGTCTCAACTAAAAATAATTGCCTGTATAAAGAAAAAAAACTCCCACCGATAAATACTGATATGTTTCACAGGCAGATATCAGCAGGACTTTAATAAAGTTCCTAACAGATTTTTTTTAAATCTACTGTTTGTGCTGCAGTTCTGGTGGTGAAGGTGATGTCTGCTCATGATAAAGGCTCTCATGCCGAGGTGGAGGCAAAGATTAAAAAGGTTTTGCAGCAGAACCCGGAGATGAAGATCCAGCACGGAAACGTCACACTTTATCCCGAGTCTTGGACTGTCCGAGGCTGTACGTGTCCAATCCTCAATCCAGGTTGGCGCCGGCGTTTACGTCCATTCAGCAGCGTCACGAATGCCATAATAACTCAGAACTTTTTAATGATTTAATGACCCAGTTTTTAGTCATGGCCCACACTTTTTCAACAGGAATAAAGTCAAAGCATTGGGAAGGCCATCCTGTAAGATTAACTTCAGTCTTCCGAAACCAGTTTTGTTGTGTATTTGGAGACATTGGGGCAGCCGATTGTGTCTAAATCCAAACCATCCGACCCAAACTGGGCCCAAAATATCAGCTTCATATGAAAGAAAAATTGTTATAATGTTTAAGAAAACACCAAGAAGAAGGAAAGCTCAAGCTGCAGCAGTAGTTGCTTAACACTTGTTTCTTTAAATGATGGCTTTCCCCTGCTGGTGCTCGTTTGTATCGTTTACGTATCTGGATAATTGATCGTTTCTGACATTTTTGTCCTCCTCCCTAGGAGACGAATACATCGTGGCTGGCCATAAGAACTGGAAAACTGGCCGGCTCATGGTGAACACCAGGAGTTTTGTTAAACCATGGAAGTTGAGCCTGGGACGCAAACTCCTTCACATTATCAGAAAAGACTGTGGGCGCAGGTAAAACGCTGCCCAGGTCAACAAACGGATGCTTTGTTGATCCGTCTGAATGTTGGACCAAAATCTGGTCCAACAATCTTCAGAGAGACTCTGTTTTGTTTGGATGCTGAAGTGAGCGACTCTTATCTCCTCTACTGAGGAGCTTATAGGACAGAAAAAGTATAAAAGACTTATGATCTTTTTTTTCAGATTGTTTTTAAACTACATACAGAGTTATATTGTGTCTCCTTGCCAAAAACTGCAAAAAGTTTTTATTGTCCTGTTCCAGTTATTTTATCGATAAGTACTTGAACATTTTCTAAGTCAGTTTTTACAATTATTTTTTATCTCGGATATTAATAAATTATGACAAGTTGACATTAACGTGTGTGTGTGTGACTCCTTGGTAGAAAAACCTCTCTGCTCTGTAATATCGCCAAAAAAGACATCATTATTTTTTGCCTAACTCATCTTTTGGCTAAGATGGTTGTGACTTTTTTTGCCATTACATTAGGAAGGTGACGATATGCTAATTTAGCCTTTCATCCAGTTCAGTTGAACACAGATTCTTCAGCCAACCAATTACTTATTATCAGGATGTTCTCTCTCTCTCTCCCTCTCTCCCTCTTTCCCTCTCTCTCTCTTATGAAACATCCTCTTTCGTCTGAGAGCCCAGTTTGATCATAAGCCCATATTTGTGTTTGTAGACGTCCGCTCAACATGTGTCTTTTTCTGGCTGTGCTTCAGAAACGGAGTAAAAAGGAGATTTTTGGATGTTCTTTCTCCTAGGAGAGAAACAAACAGCCCACAGAGATGCAAAGAATTCCTCAGAAATGAACTCATCAGTCATTAACCCAAAGACGTCCACAAAAAACAACAAAAAATAGGGTAAATGTTCTTTTAAAGTAAGAAAGTATCATTCAAGAGTGCTTTTATTCCAAGTATGTCCTTTTTTTTATGTTCCATAATCTATGTTTTCTTTCCTTCATATGTCATCTTTTTATTTGTTTGTTCACAATTGTGAAGGACGGATATTCAGAATATGCGTTTACTTCACATGTAGCTCATTACTGCCCTCTTTTGGTTAGGAGATGACAAAACACTTCACAATTCTTTAAGCGGCATTTTAGTAAACTTTAGGAACACTAAGTAAAAAAAATGCAACCAAAAGGAAGAAAAATAACTAAATAGTTAGCTGAAAGTATAATAAGAAATCCTTTTATTTATTTTTTTCGGGTTGCAGCTTCTGTTGTGCCAAACATGTAAAACAAATAGAATAGGAATGGATAGACATGCATTAAATAAATACATTGGCCTACATTTATATAAATGTGCAAATATACGCATCATTTTATAACATCCGTTTTAATTTATTTGTATTTTTTTCACGATTAATTATTACATTGTGGATTTAATAAATTATTTAAATTTATTAAATGATTTTTTTCATTTATTAAAGATATTTGTTACAATTTTATAAGTGCAATATATATAAATGTTTGACAAATTATTTTCACGCTGGATTGTGGGGCTCTGGGTTCTTGATTCTTTTAAATGTGGTTAAATGTAGATTAAAATGTTTAAATTCAGTGTTGCATCACTAAACAGCTCAATTTCAGCCAGTGCTACCAAATATTTTTGGTGTTTTGTGTTTTTTTGGTCAGCCACCCTTCAAAAGTCCTTGAAAACATAAAAGTTATAAATCAATTCACTGCAATAATTATTTTATCCCCAATTCAAACAGGACAGAGAACTTGGTGAGAAAACTCTGGGTAACAGTAAGAGGTTTCTTACAGTAATGACTTACTGATTTTGCCACATTTCTTAGATTTTTTTTTTTTTAAATCTGAACAGCCGTCAGTGCAGCACAGTGATATGAATGCAGGGTTTTATAATGTCTACAAACCAAAATACAGGCACAGCCACTAGTTCCAGATTTATAACAATTTATTTTTTTATTTATTTTAGAAAAAATGCATCAAATGAAAACAAAGCAGCAGAATATTAGGATACAAATATAGCAGTTTTTTTTTTCTTCCTCAACATGACAGTAAAGCTGGATGTGTTTTCTGGACAGCTGCTTATCTAATCAATGTTTCTTTTCTTTATTTTTTTGGTTGCATAAAGTAGTTTTGCATATCTTTTAAAGACAGCACTTTTAGCTACGCCTGCCCTGCTACATTCATTAAAGATACACCCTTTTTTTTCCTGCTGGCTTGATCTTTAGAAGAAAACCAAAATTGCTAGTAAGTTTCCTTCGTTTTACGAGGTTTTTGCTTTGCTACAGTTAGTGTGATGCAGAAGTTCCACTTGAACTTTTTCACATCACCGCCACAGACTTCAATCTACTTATTGGGATTTCATGTGATAGACCAACACAAGGTAAGCTGAAGGAAAAATGATGCATGGCTTTAAAGTTGTTTTTTTGTTGTTGTTTTTTTCAAAAATAAAATGAAAAAAAGATTGTGGCATACTTTTGTATTTGTCCCTCTTTACTCTAAAACCCCAAAATAAAGTCAAGTGCAAATGTTTTCCCAAAGTATTGAATAAAGTTCCGTCCAATTTAATATCAGGAACAAATGAGTGGCAAGAACAAGCTGTGAGACTGAGTGTGTAAAGTCCTTCAATCAAAGATGTGACTCTGGAGGAGCTGCAGAGCTCCATAGCTCATATGGGAAAATATGTTGATGGTGGCCGATTATTAGTTGAACACCAGCAGTACAATATATGTAAAGCCAGAGCTGCAATTTTGATCAACGCTTACCCCCCATACTAGAATGGTCAGATTATTTAATTGTGGCCAGGCTTGAAATGTAATGTTCACAGACATTATCCATCCAGTCTGACTGAACCTGAGCTAATCGGCAAAGCAAAATGGGCAAAAAATGTTATTCTGTAGTCGTGCAAAGCCAGCAGAGCCACACTTGGAGCTGCAATTGCCGCAAAAAGATGGTTCAATAACTGAAGAAAAAAAAAAAGAAAAAAAACGCCGCTCTTTTCTTTTCAGATGTTTATTTGGCAAACATTCCTGTTCACCAAATCGATGAAGTTTGTGGTTGTAACACAACAAACCGCGAACGAGTTCGAAAGACATGAATACTTTTGCGAGACGCTGCACCTAAACGGGCTGGAGCTGTGGAAAGTTTGGGGCAGAGGGATGTTGCATAACTGCTGTCAGTCTGGAGACGTTGGGCGTCGCTCAGCTGCCATGCTCCTCCGGGTTTCGCCTGAGGGTCTCAATAGCCGCATGCCTTAATAGTCGTCTCCTCGGCTCACTACCTCCTTGCAGGTGGGCCTGAGGAGGATGGTGTGCTCGTACTGGGCGGTGTAGCTGCCCTTGATGTCGCACAGAGGCGGGTACGGGTCTATGATGCCGAGGTCGCACAGGTTCTTCAGCGCCATCAGGTACTTGCTCTCACCCAGGCGGTCCAGCCAGCGGCGGCAGAAAGCCAGCGTGCCGAAGTTCTCGTTGATCACGTTCAGCAGGTGTTTAGCCCTTGGTAGTCTGAAAAACAATTGAAAGTGTTGTGACATTTAAAACCACGGGTAAAATACAGGAAAAAAAAAAAAAAATGAACCATTTGAGAAGGTTAAACGCGAAGGTTGAACCTGATCGGCACGTGTCCAACGTTGAAGTTCTTCATGTAGTGAGAGCACTCCATGTCGTCGTGGACGGCGCCTCGTCCGGTGCTGCCGAACGTCTCAATGGCGTAGGCTTCACCTTCCTGAAAGGCAGCGAGAGAGGCACTCATTACCCTGCTGACACGACGTGAAAAATTGCCATGAAAACTTTAAAAAAAAAAGGGCAGGAACGAGAGGACGCAGGAACCGCAGAAAAACGGGGGGCTGAATGACAGAGTAAATTTGACTGAAACCTCCAGTTGTCAGAGCTGCTGATTTATTCACGTGAGGTGCAATAAGGACGGCAGAGACCCCTGGGCTTTGATTGGCTGCGTCTCGGTGACATTTTGTGCCTCCGTCGTCCCGGGGTTGATGTCGGAGTCCCCCCCTCCCCCATCCACCCCCCCGTGGTATTAGCTGATAACGCCGCGCCGCCCTCTGTCGCTGCACCGATAATCAGTCAAAGTGCTCGCAGCCCCGCGGCACGCCCGGCTGCTACTCCACTCTCTGATCACAAAAGCGGGGGTAATGGCCCTGTTACACCGACACACTTCAGCTAAAAATACAATGTGCAAAAGGTGCCACATCAGCATCCGACCCCCCCCCCTCCCCCCCCCACTCCCTGTTCCTCTCCTCCTGCAGCCTTCAGGTAAAAAGCTCGACGCAGCAACTTGCCAATTAAAAACACTTGCTTCTGTCCAAATGCAGCTGTTTACTGCAGCTGTGTTTAGAGGAGCCTCGGATTCTTTGTGTGGCAGAACTTGGCCTGTGTGCGGACTGTTGGGTTTTTCTGCGATACGCCGACACGACGTGGCGCACGGTCGGCGAGCTGGGAGGAAATTCACCCTTAAAAAGAGGAACTGTTGAAATTACAAATTTGAAGAGTTTTAATGCTTTGTAGAAGCATTAAAACTTTGCAACAATTGCAGCGGCAAATCTTGAGTCTATCTGCACATGTGGAGAGTTCATTTTTTTTCCCCAACTCCCCAATTTGATCTCTTCTTATGTTAAAAGGTTGAATAAATAAGTAATACTGAGATTAAATTCTGCATAGGGCTCTACTTAGTCCTCGCGATGTTAGCTGGGCTTGATTTCACTCAAGAATTTCATAGTGATTTGTAAAATAGCCAGAAATCCATGCATTGTTTTTCTTCCACTTTCCCCCAATGGATTAGATTTCAACATTTAAATAAGGGACTCCTTAAATACGAAATGAACAGAAACTTCTTTATCAAATGCTGGTATTTACTGGCATGTAGCAGGCTAAACGCTGTCCTTTTGTCAGTGCCAAAGGCAGTTTTCGACGAGAGTGAATCCTTTGGCAAGCCGTTCGATTAGAGATGTAAGATTAAAGTGCTGATGATGAGCGCGACTGCGGAGCAACAAAGTGGAGCGCCTCCCCCACACCTTTTTGTAGCACCAACCAGCCGAATCTTCATCCAATTACACTTAAAAATTAAAAAGGTTTATTTACAAGGTCAAACACCCAAAAAGTGCCTCATTTCAGCTGCTACAGCAGCAGCAGCAGCGTTTGGCTTCTTATGCGGCAGAGTTTAGGAACAAACACTTTTGCCAAAGACTTAATTTGAGTGCAAACCTCCATCCTGGTCGCCTCGCCACCTTTTACGATGGGAACAGTCTTCCCTGAGTGTATCCTGTACTGTCCAATCGAATGGCCGTTCAGGTTTCTGACTGGCTTCACTGCAGAGGAAACAAACAAACAAACAAAAAAAGCTTTCATTCACCCGTGCGTTCGCACCAGAGGCCGGCCGGGTCAGACAACGCAAAACGTGAGCCTCCTTTTTCACCTTGATACGTTTTTCCATCTATCTCAACTTCGTAAGACTCCATGACCTCCTGGATGGTCTCGCCGACGTCGCACAGGCGCACGTCGATTCCTGCACACTGGGACAGATCCAGAACTCCGGGTCAGCTGATATGTGCGTGAAATATATTTACTCTTACGACTGAAGGGTTTGTTTCATTTTAACCTCACGTAACGAGTTGAAGATAATAATTTTGGGTTTGCATAGCCATGATGAAATCATTCAGAATAGCTTCTCCTGTTGGATTTAAAAGCTGATTTGATACGTTTGAAAATGTAACCCTTATCATGAACCGAGAGAAACTATTAAACGTTTCAGTTCTTAGCTCCGAAATAGAAAGTTTGTATCATTTTTTTAAGTCTTCCTTCTTCTGCTGTCATTCCACAAGGCTCTGCTCTTGGACCTCTCCTTTTCTGTTAGAGTAAGTGTCAAAAATGAAACCTGTCCTTTCCCAAAACCAACCAGGAGACGATAATATGCGTTATTCTGCCACCTCTCACTTGGATGGCTGCAGTGCTGCCCTCCCAGTTAAAAGCACGGCTTCCACTGCAGTAAAACACAGTCGATTGATTTTTAACTGGAAGCTCTCACCAACTTCGGCTTCCTGTTAAAAAAAAAATCTTCTTGTTTGTGTCCGTTTCTCCCTCTGAGCTGCTCCACTGATATGAAGCGTCTCGTTCCAACAAGTGGGCCAGATGCTTTAAATGATCCCAGACATATAAGTCGAGACGTAGCAATGTGTTTCTGCATGAACTGATCCTCTAATGCTGTGCAGCACTGTGGCCAGCTTTATTACTGCTTAAAATGTTTTACAAATAAAGTGGCATAATGTGACAGGGGACTAAGGTAACAAAGGTCCCTTTTATTCCAGTTTCTTTCAAACAATAATTACTTTTAAGGCGTTATTCGTACAAATGTCCCAACGCTACCTTCTGCTCACAAACAGAAGGACATGCCCCATTTACCCCCTGTGAATTACGCCGTTTGCATACAGAGCATTTTTCAGTTACATTTGCTCATATTTACCCAGCGACGTTTTTCCTCTGAATCAGCCTTTTGAAGCACGTTGTCAAGAGCACCGTGGCATTACGCTGGAGGTTAAATCGCAAACGAGCTCTATTTGGTTAAGTAAGAAGGTTTTTGTGACTATGCCTGGAAGACGGGAACCATAGACTCTCATTAATTTAATTTATTGTATCTAAATTGTGTATCTTATTATAAAAGTGATAAAAAAAAAAAAAAAAAGCTGGGGAGGAAAAAAAATGGCGTTACCCTGATGCCGGTGTTTGTCGCATCCCTCACAGCCTCCAGCAGTCTGTCGTACTTTGGATTGAAAGTGACGGTGAATGCGCAGTCTATTATTCGACCTGAAAGATGAAACGATTCAAAAGTTTGTTCTCACATCGCATGAAATGGTCACTTTGCTAAAATGTCAACATATGCTATTCTTTTCCTATTTTGTCCTCCATGTAGATTAGAATTTGTGGAGTGGGAAGAACAATTTGCATAATTACACTTAAAAAAAATAAAAATAAAGTAAATAAAAAGCTTAAAAGTGTGGCACGACTTCAGTCAATACCTTGCAGAGCCTGTCTGACCTTTCACCTTTCTCTGTAAGTGTTTCGGACCAGCCGTTTCCGCCAGCTGTGCACATCTGTAAGCTGTAACATTTTCCCCATTTTGCTTCGCTAAATACCTCTATGTTAGAATGGAGAGCCTATGTTTCAATTTATTTTAGGTCTGGACTTTGACTAGACCCTTTCAACACATGAATAAGGTTTTTATCCAAACCATGTGACGCTGGCTTTATGTCTATGATGATTATCCAGCTGAAAGGTGAACCTCCACCTGGTTGCAAGCCTTTTGTAGCCTCTGACATTCAGATCTTCACTCAACAGTGGATTTCTTGTTGCCTCTTTCAAACAATAATTACTTTAAAGGTGTAATTCGTAAAAAAAAAAAAAAGTCTCAACATTACCTTCTGTTCACATGTAGAAGAACATGTTTCATTTACCTCCATGTCAAACTTTTAAAAATTTTTTTGTATGTATAAACTTGTATCATTTTCCTGCCGCCTTGCAATCATATATTTTGTGTTGATGTATCAATTAAAATGTGGCGCTAGTGCTACAAAATGCTTTGGGTACAAACGACTAAAACTCACGGTAGTTAATCACAAAAGCTGCTTCTCACCGGAGTGAAACACTGAAGCCATTCCTCTTCTCTCACTGAGGATGAAACACACTGGCGTAGCTCGGAAGAGAGCGCCTACCGTTGATGTGCGTGCCAAAGTCGATCTTGCAGACGTCGTCGTAGCGCAGCACGGTCGGGTCTCCGGCGTTGGGGGTGTAGTGGGCAGCGCAGTGGTTGATGGAGCAGCCCGTCGGAAACGCCAGGCCGGCACTCAGCCCGTCCTCCTTGATGAGCCTCCTGGAGCAATCCTCCAGCTTCTCGCTGCCACAAACAGAGAGCAGCAAAAGACGGACGGTGAAGGACGAAGGACACGAACAGGCTTCGAAGAAAGCTCTGCGGCTCGTTTCTAACCAGATATCGATCATGGCCATCCCTGGTTCTATCCAGCTCCTGACGTAGGAGCGCACCTGTCGGTGGGCCTCGGCCGCCTGCCTGAAGTCGCTCCACATCTCCTCGTTGGCTCGGTCCATCGCCCGCTTCTCCTCGCTGGTGGTCCGCCACGCGGCGCTACGCCTAGGGGGGGTTATGCTGTACTTATCATTTGCTGTCAAAGAGCAAAAGACACACTTTTGCAGATAGACATATTCAAGGTTCATGTGGGGACCTAAATAAAGAGAGAAAAAAAAAAAAGGCACTGCAGGAGACTTCTGGCCAAGTGTGGAGGTCACACACCCGTCTTTCGATGGGGGGTATTCACACTCCTCTCCCTTTGGAAAGTCCCCGTTGGGATAGAGCTCACAAATAGGTACTGAGGGAGGGTCAGTCTGTCCCTTCGCTGTGGCCCAGATAGAGGAAAGTAGAAATGCAGGAAAGAAGAAGGATACAGGGCAGGAAAACAAGTTAATGACACTTCAGGACACAAATCCTACTGTTAGAGGACGGCGTCTCTTATATTGCTTATTGTTGTGGCATGCATGCTAAATGCACATTTTGTCACTTTAATTGGGATTTGTGTGATGTACCAACATATAATAGTGTAAAATCATGAAGTGAAAGGAAGGTGGCCTGTGGTTTTCAACATTGTTTTTTTTTGCTAAATAATTTTCTTAAGGGTTTGCTTTGTGTCGGTGTTCAGAGCCCTGAGTAGATCTGCCTTTCTCTCTGACATAATTTTCTCCTCTAGATGCTTAAACGTTTCCCGATTCTTCTTTGCAAACAGACTTAACCCCAGGTAGGAAACAGAGCTCTGCAAACGTCAGTTTTCAAGTTCTTGCCACAGATTCTCAATTCGGCTTAGGTCTGGACTTTAACTGGGCCGTTCTATGAACATGGTTTCATTTTAAGCTTGCTGAGGCTCGCTGGAAGGTGACCCTTCGCCCCAGTATTTAACTGTTTTCCAGCCTTTTTTTCTTCTTCTTCTGTTTATTTCCATCTATCTTGACCAACTTCCCTGTCCCTGCATTCCCCCAGCACAATGCTGCCACCGCCGTGTCAAAAGCTTTCAAATAACTTCATTTTATTTGCCAGTATCAAAGTAAAGAGGGCTGATTAAACTTTCTACATTTATATTTACAGTGAATGTTGCCAACCACACATCCTTTCCCTTCCACTTCACAGCTGTACACAATTATGTTTTTGGACTGCAATACAAACTAAAGCTTAAGTAAAGAATTACATTAAAAAATTTTAGTTGTCACATGACAAAATGCGGATAGGTTTTGAGTGTTTGAGTAAGTTTGTCGACCGGTTGGTTGTAGACTGATTCATTTTGCAGCACCTTACCTCCTTTCTTCTTCTTCTTCCTCTTCTTTTTGACAGCTGAGTTTTCCCCTTCATCGCCATCTGTTGAAGGCACCATTAGTTTGCGACACAACTATTAAAGCGAGGAAATATTATTGATGCCCCCCCCCGCTACCCCCTCAACCCCCTCCATGCAGGCCCATTTCCGCTCAGATATCAAACATCGCGCTGCAGACGAGGGCGGATGAGTCTCGCAGTGGCACTTCTACTACACTTTGAGCTCCAGCAGCACCACTGCTGCAGGTGAGGATGACTGTGGGAGATGAAGGCGATACCTTCCTCCGCATCCTCGGGCCTCTCCTTCTCCTCCAAGGTTTGCCGCTCCAGCTGCACTGCCACTTCGCCGACACCTCCGGCTTCTCCAGAGTCTCCCTCGGCTTCGTTTGTCCCTGCTGCAAAGTCACATACTGTTGTGCATCCATGTGCACACACATACACACACACACACACACACACGCACACACACAGGGTTGATTATTTGTGGTTCATCCCAAGAAAGTGTATCGGCTATGTTCTGAACTTGGCAGAGCTTGTGAATAATTCCTTCACTACACCTCAGTCTTTATCCTCAAGGGCATATGTATCTTGCAGCATTATGACATTAAGTGCTGTGGTATAAACATGGCTTATATATAATGCAGCAAAAGCACCTCAGCCTTTTTCTTTTTTTTTTTTTTAAAGGATTTGGTGCTTCATTCTTATAAATAAGTAGCCATAATGTGGTGACTTCTTTTCTTTTCTTTCTTGCATAATCTTCCTGCATTGAACTGTTGCTGCTCCCATTAAATGAAATCAAACTAAATATGAAATCCCCTCGCTTTATGCTTGCAGGACAACTTTGAAGCATTTTCTAAAAATCATTCTTTTTTTTTTCAAACTGATTTGCAGCCTAAACGAAGAAGAAAAAAAAGAAAGAAAAATTCTCTCTGACAGGTTGGAAACTCTCCTGTGTTTTACGCTCTTTTAGCCAGAGAGAAATAGAGAAGGGGGGCACATTTGCGCGCTGCAATCCCCCCCCCCCCAAAAAAAAATCCCAACCCGCAACCCCGAAGATTACCAAAGTGATGCGCCTCACCTGGCCCGCTCGTCCGGCTCCTCTTCTTCTTCCTTCTCTTTTTCTTCACCGCTTCGCCGGCGTCCGCGTCCTCTCTTTCTTCGTCGTTCAAGTCGTCCCCATTGAGAAGTTGAGGCTCCACTTCGCGCTGTGGCTCCGGCTCCGCCATGATCAACGACTGAGAGAGGCGAAGTGACGCATAGTAAGGCTGCTGGGAGCCTCCAAGTGGTCAAAGCGGATAAAAAAAAAAAAAAGTCACCGGACAGTAATGACTTATTAACGACACCCTCACCTGGTGAGAATAGAGGGAGGAGATGCGTGTTTGTAGCTACCAATAAGAAAATTGCGGGGTTTTTTTTATTTGTTTGTTTTTTTAGCTTTTACAAAACAATATTTTGGGTCAAAACTGTAGTAGGTTTGCAACCAGAGCCGGCCACAGGCATAAGTGAACCACGCTGCTATTTCAGAACTGTTTCTTCCAGACTTGCCTTTAAGGGGTTAAAACCCAATGCAAATATATATTTATATTATTTTTTACTCCATTATTATTATTATTATTATTATTATTATTATTATTATTATTATTATTATTTTCAATGAATGTGTGTTGGGGGGAACTTTATATATAGCTTAGGGGGTCAAATTAGGTGAGTTGCATTAATAGTTTAGGGTCTTTATGAGGATAAACAATATTCAAATATTTTAAAATTATGAAGTTATAGTTGATTTCTTTGGGAACAACATGGAGTTATTGGCTAGGAGGCATATTTAACCTTCCATGCATCAAATCGTTTCTGCTTATGTTATAGAACTACCTGTCAATTTATTGTAATTTGGATTAGTAAAATACATTTTCCTTGATGGATAGGGGACCAAAACTGGCTTCGGCCCAGTAGAATCACATCCTTGTAAATCCAGCCCTGTCTGATCCAGTGGGCGAGCGACCGCACACACGTAGAAGCCATAGAAAACTTGTTCAAGGTGCAGATCAGTGTTTATTCTTTTGGGTCTGAACTGGCCCATACTCAGACCTCCATTGATAGATTCTGTCCTCTAAAGCCCAGGAACACTACAGCTGCACATTGGTCATCAAGATTATCCTGGTCAAACTTGTTCAGATTCACATTCCGATCCAGACAACTTTATTCATTCCAACGGGCGATTCATTTATTGTATCTATCTGACACATTGTTTACAAAGACAGTCTGTTGGTTTTGACCTTGTTTTCAGCATTACAGTTCACTCTGTTTCAGATCTTGGCGACACTAGAAAGAGATTTTGACAACTAGTTCAGTATTTTTATTGGAGATTATACGAGAACTCTTTGTTTTATATGGAATGACTATTTGGCATTCACAAGTTTAGTTCATTTGGACCGAGATGACATGAGTTAAACGATAATGTTATGGTCAGCAGAGAATTGGATGGAAGGAACTGATCATCAGGCTTTGCATTTTGCTGAAAGGAATGAGGAACTGCTGACGCGACGTTCACGAATGACTGAATGTCGAAGAGGTTAAACTAACAGCGATGAGAATTTAAATTTTAAACCGAGAAATCGAGAAAAACTGAAAAACATTGACATTAGTAAATAACTACTTTTAAATGTAATTAAAACATATTAACACTCAGTAGACTCATTGTTCCTGCTACTACAGTTCAATCATATGAACTGCATTTATGACATTTTGTGTGAATAACACTGAGTGAGTGAAATCCATAAAGTTCAAACTAAGAAAAAAAAAAGAAAACAGTGACGGGACTTCAGGTCAAACCCTGTTTTGGACCCCAGTTCAACATTAAGCCTGTCCCGGCTCAAATGCTCAGATGTGTGTGTGTGTGTGTGTGTGTGTGTGTGTGTGTGTGTGTGTGTGTGTGTGTGTGTGTGTGTGTTCATGACGGGTGGCATCCCAAAGTTGCACTCATCACTTTCTCTGAGCTTCCAGGCGCGTCAGGGTTTCGGGTTACCTGGCGGTGAACACCTGACTGCCACGGCGGCAGCCCGGCCGGCACGGTTGTTGTTCCGCGGGCCTACAAACGTCTCAGGGCTCTCAACGTTATCGGGGATGATGTTTTTCTGTTTGCACTGTGACAGATACCCTTTCCATCTGATGAATCGATGATGCGTAAACCAGGAGATGTGTGCAGAGGAGTGTGTATCCTAGCAACAAGGTGAGCACAGTAGGAAAGGTCTGTAGATGTTTTTCTTGCTTTTTTGTTTTTACTGAGCGTAACGAGTGCACATGGAATAAAAAAGGGAATTTGTATTTGGTATTCAATATCAGCTTAAAAATGCACTTGGTAATTACAATTATACATATTAACGCAAAGCAAAAACAAATGAAGGTATGCCGTGGGAGACTTCTGTGTCAGGTTGTTTTAATGTAATAAATGATTACTGCTTCATTGGATTTTGTACAAAGAGATCTTATTTCTACTGTATCTTATAAGAATTAACAGAGCAGAGGAAAATGGCCCACCTCACTTTCTGGCTCCCTGGCAACAGAGAGACAGAAAACCAGGCTCTCCGTTGATGAAGTCGATATTACAACCTGGAAATTCGGATTTTAAAACAAGAAATGTCATCTGGTGATCCGACTGGATGGTGTTACAGCTCAGCTTTGTTAGAGCAGAGCTTCAGGTTTCTCCTTTTGTTCTTTTTCTTCTTCAAACTCTGAATAGAGCGGGTCCAGCTTTTGAAGTCCTGCTGACTTCCTGAAACTTGGTGTCTTGTTGCTCTAGGTTTTCCATTGTAGAGGGAAGAAGAGCGGAAAGCTTCCAGTTTGTTGGTCTGGATGGAAATACTTCAGTCACAATCCTTAGCTAATCTTGATTCTTCTCCCAAGGAGGACTCGGCAGACATTTCTATTCGATAAGAATCCTTTACATCCACGAAACGTCCCCAAATGACAGCAGCTGCGAAAAATGTATCATTCCTCATCATTCAAATTTATTTGTCACTGATGACAGAGATCTCTTAAAATGGCACAACTTATCTCATCGAGTGAATAAATGTTGTGGCTGCCAGCGTGTGGCCAAGTGTAAGTTATTATTATAAGCCCTAAACATGAAGCAGTTTGTCTCTCTAAGCTTAGCAAAATGTCTGAAGTAGTTCTTGAGCTGTTTGTCATGACAAGGATTGCAAATAAACTTCTTGTCAGGTCAACATTGTTGGGTTGCAAAGTCATGAAAAAGACAAAGTGGCTATCTGTGCATTTCTCATCTGCTAAGCTAAAGGGAGATTTCACCATTTTTAATTAGTTTGTTCTTCCTTTGGTCATTTCAGGTTCAACACTTTAAATATATGATTGTTTTTTAAACCCGAATTGTTCTACGCTGAGCCAAGAGCCTTTAAGACACGGCTTGATATTCAAGAAACTTTCAGTCTGTTAAAAATAAACATAAATAAGATCATTTTCATTAGCCTGTCTGTTAGCATTTAAGCTACATAGCCTGTATTAAAGTGAGACATGTCGTATATGCTAGTCAAACCAACCCTGAAACATTGTACACTTGATACAAATGACTAAAAACATAGTTTGTGTTTAAGACACATTAAAAATCTGCTGAAATCTTGTTAAATCCAGCTGTGGCTTTTTGCAGATGCTGATTAATAAACTGACAAATATAGCCTATTTTAGTGTCTATTACGTGTTAATGTCATTGATTAATCTGAATAAAAAGTGTTCAAATAGTTGCACCAATTTTATTGCTTAAGTTCGGGTTGTTTCCTCCAGATGTTGGGTTCTGCTGGCGCGCGGGCGATCAGACCTGGTCCCGTGTTTTTCTTTGACCAGGTGGGCTTCCGTACATTCACTCTGCAGACTGTGTTTTTAAACGAAATCAACCCACATCCACTGTTTACCTCCCTACAGCCAACAAGGCGAAATCGGATTGAAGGCAACATTTTAAATTTCATGATAAGAAGTGCGGGACCACAGCCGGAAGACGCACCGCTAAGGTGGTAAGATCCTTCCCGTTAAGTTTTACTGCTGAGCTGTGCATCTAACACAACAACCCATTTCCTCACAGTCAGCAAGAGGGGGACCCAAAAGGTGAAAGTAACAATTTAAGCAGCCAGAACCCCTCAGGTAAAGCCTGTGAGGATGAAGAACGTGATCCTTCATCATCATCTGTCAGCGCCGCGCCAAGGGATCCGATGGACGCCTACAGGCGAGCAGCCCCTCATTTATTAAACGACTTGGCTCGTCTCCTTTCACAGCATAAGTGGTCGGAGGAAGGCCGCATCCCCCGCGGCGTTGTCAATATCCTGAATTACTCCTGGCACGATCTGACTGCAGGGGCGGCGTTCCGCTTGAGGAGGCCAGCGGCGATGACAGAGAACCGGAGGAGGGCCAAAGAATCCCCGAAGGCGCAGAAAACACCCCCGGGGGTGTCTGACGGCGCCGGGGAGGAAACAGGAGAGAGGAACTCTGGCGCGGCGAGAAATGCTGGTTCATTTCTCACAAAAGATACAGCAAATCAGAGTGAAAGAAAGGAAAAACGAAGCTCAAAAGGAGGTAAATTTAGCATGAGGTGAATCTACGCCTTAAAGAATTATGTATAAAACATAATAAATAATAATTCAGTTGTCTTGAGCCAGATAAAGTGTGACGTTTGATGACAGAGTAGTGAGAATATATAATAAACAAGACAAAAAAAAATTTCTTTAGAGGCGACACGAAGAATGGTCCAAGAAAGAACAGAAAGATCAAGAATGAGAAGCAAAACAGTGAAAGAAACACTGACGGTGACCACAATAAGTCCCCAAAACACCCATTTTATCACAGAATGTTCAAACTGAGACAAAACAGAATGAGAAAAAAAAATCCAATAAATACAGATGATTAAAATATCATTTTCCTTTAATTATTCAAATTATTTGCAAAAATGCACCTTTTGTAAGTTCCTGAACATGTTACTTTTTATGTGATTAATAGCGAAGTGTCCTTCCAGTATCAGATGGATAAGTAGCCTTTCATTTGATTGAAATAAATTACATATTTTCAATCACAATAAGACATAAACGCATTTTACCAGATAAACAGATTTAGTTCATACCTACCTAATGCTACGGGATCATGTTTGGTCACAATCCAGTTCAAGTCAAACCAGATGAACTATATTCATATTGTCATATTCAGATCTAATTAGACACAGTCAAATGTAAGTCATTGTTGGAACACACTGACACCAGATTCAGTTGATTAATTGGTAAACAGTTTTCTGTTATCAAGACACTGACTTTACAACAATCCCTTCTGCTGAGCAAGCATGTGGCGACAGTGGGGTGGAAGCATTTCCCTCTTAACAAGATGAAACCAGACAAGCATCAAGTATCTTTCGAACCCACATCTTAGATTGTGTTTAAAAGAGAAAGTCATGCTGAAATAAATAGCATCACTAAAATCTGAGTATTTACTCCACAGCCAATTTACAAACTTTTCAGTAAGAGCTTGTGGCTGTAAACGCTCCTGTAGGGCCGCTTTAGTTGCAGCCTTGTGGAAGTGAAGGTGTCGGTTTACCAGATCAGATGTGTGAGTGTAGCACAGAGGCCCTCCTCTCTGTTAATGGACAATGGCGAGGCTATCGAGTTGCTCCTGGCTCATTGACTTACGTGCTCATACAAATCTAACATATGTGAATAAATGACACCGGGCCGCTAGGATGACAAAGCTACTCATTCCCTCTCCGAACTCCACAGCCATCAGGATCTCCGTCTCAGTCTGGAGCTGTGAGGACGCAGGTACGACGTGGCGCTGCAGCGTTGGTGTTATTGACTGCGTCTCTGCTGCACTCAGCAGGATGTGGTGTGTGTCCAGGTGGGGTCGCTCAGCCAGAGCAGCACTGCTGTGACGAGCCTGAGAGCGCGAGAGTGAGCCGGTGGGTGGTGGAGAGACTGAGGGCGGCCCAGAACCCAGAGTGGGTTTTTACTCTCTTCTTCTGCAGCTTCAATAACTGTGTGGCCAGAGAGGGGCTACTGTACTTTATCTTACAAACAGAAGCTAAAGGGAATAGCTGTACTTTGTCACTTTACATTTAGGGTTTTATGTGAAAGACCAACGTAAAGTGCTGCAGAATTTTAAAATTGTGCAGCACTTGGGTATGAATATTTTTACCAAGGCACTGTAGCTAAAACATGATTACGGCCCTAATGTGTAGACATCTGCCTCCACCTGAGCAAGATCCGAGTACAGCTCCTATTCTCCGTCATTATGGTGATGGAGGAGGTGAGCTCACTAATGACAGAAGAAGAAGGACGGCGGTTGCCCCTCTGGTTGACGTTTTGCCCCAGACACCAGAAGTGAAGCTGCAGAGTCCGGTCCAGAGGAAGCTGCACTACCGGATAAACGATGGCTCCTCGTTTATTTAGTATCCTTTACTAATTGTCTTATGTCAGGTGGCGGTCCAAGTAAACACGGTGTAAAATTGTGTCAGAGGAGTTGACCTCTTGACCCTTGACCTTGCTGCCTCAGCTACCCGTCCGGCTGCATGGCGGTGTGCCAGAGTCGCTCCGGTCTGCCTCACGGAGGTTTCTACACCAACGTGTTCAGCGACGGCCAGCGTCCTGCCGTTCTTCTGACCATCACGGCGTTTGGACACGGCGCAGTCACAGACACTGTCAGGTCACTTCAGACCTGCAGTTTATTTATTTTTTGCTTTCTGTTCTTATTAGGCTTTTTTTTCTCTTTACTTTTCAAACTTTTTTATGGCTGCGTTTCTTTGTTCAAGTCTCATAAACATTTCTGGTGATGACGTTTCTGGACTTAATCACTGAATATTCATAATTTGTTTAAAGGTCAGTAATTATTCTCCCAGCTCAGTGTAATAATGTAACAAAGAACGATGTAGGTAGGTAGCAATATTTGTATGACAACAGAAAATATATTTTTAATTTTTTAATTTAAAATTTTTTATTTGTTCTGTTTGTATTTATCAATACAGAAGTAGTACTATAAAGTTTAAAACCTGTTATCGCTCTGACGGCACACTTTGTCGGATTGCTCCTGCAGCTCCACCGTCTCGGCCGTGTGGGATCAGGACGGAGGATTCAGGTTCGACAATTACGGAAACACAACGGAGGAGTGGAGCTGGCCAACATATCGCCCACTGAGGAGAAATATTACGATGCAGGTGGGAATTACCAGCTGCATAAACAAAAGATGTGCAAAGTTGTTGTTTTTTATTTTTCCATGTAAAAACAAAATAACACCATAAGTGATGTAATAACCTTGATGTTATTGAAGCATTCACACAGACGTGTTGTAGAAACGGCAACGGAAATGTTTGAGTTTTGTCTTGAGATTTCTTGATACGTCAAGTAGATTTAGTGGTCGTTGAAAACCGCAAACCGTGAGATTCTGGTCATCAGATTATGAACCGGTTCATCCAGCTTACTGAATATCATTTTGTTGCTCTTCTCTTTGATTCCTGCAGGTCTCAGAGGAGATCTCAGTGAAGCTGCTCAGTGGGAAGTCTGGCCTGCTCAGCTTCAGATGCGAAGAGGAGAGCGTTCGCCTTCCTCTTCGTTTTGCCACTAATGAAAGCCAGATGAAGAAAGTGGTGAGATCATAACTCTCCTGTAGTTACAAAAATAAAAAGGTTCTCCTCTCTAAAATCTGCTTTTCATGCAGCCTTGTTTGCAGACGGAGAACAAATTCAGCTCAGGTGCTGCTCAGGATCTTCGTCTGCCAAAGAAGCAAAAAAGTCCCGCTGGCGTCTCAGAGAACAAAATGAGCCTGAGGAGAACACCTGTGAGGATCTTTTATTCACTGCAGCAGAACCAGAGTGGGGTAGTAGCTATAGTTACGTTTACTCAGTTACTTCAATCACCTTTTGGGAAAAAAATATTATTTTAGCAGTGGCTTTACTCCACTGTACTTTTTACTTTTAACTTTCAACATGAAGTATCTTTTACTTGAGTTAAATTCCTGGACCTGAACAACAAGCTTGTTTTAACCAAACATTCACCACACACAGACACACAGCAGCAGTCGTTAACAAAATTTAACAAGTTTTGTATCGAAAGAAATTTAGTTGGAAATGTATTTATTCATTTTGCCTGATTTTTAAAAAAAAAATTGTTATAATGTTTAAAATATATAGTTTTTTCATCTTTAAGTATTAAAAATGTATGTTTTGATCAGTTGCTCAGTATTTGAGTACCATTTTCATCAAATCCTTTTTTGCTCTAACTTGAGTAATTTCCTGGACTGCCTCTTTTGTACTTTTACCGTAGTAAAAGTTACTTTACTTAATTTTTGGGTACTTTACACACCTCTGATTAGAACGCAGGGATTTTAGATCAAAATCACAGTTTTCTTTATCAATACCTTTGACATGAACATCTCCCTTAAGTGCCTGAATTCAGTTTCTATGGCTGCATTCACCAGGTGGTCAGAGAGGAGGAGCAGCAGGTGAAGCCGTCTGCTCTGTGGAGACGACGAAGAAACGCCATGCGGGAGCTGCAGAGGCTTCAGCAGAGAGTACGGGATGCTGCGGAGGGCTGGCTGGATTACTATCGCGTTGCTGTCGGTAACCACAAACTGAATTCATTCACACATCATCACTACATGACAACGTGGCACAAGGCTGCTGAATGCCAGACGCATTTCATGGTGCAAGGCAGCACGAAATGCGATGCGACACATACGGGTGCCACACGAGACGGGGCGCCAGAAATATGGCGGAATAATTATTTCTAGTCATCGTTTTCAGTACTTGACGGTTGTTTGCGTCTATAATGTGTCTATAATACACTTCACAAAGCATTTCCCTGGTGCAGAAACTGAACGCTGAGCCAATCTGAGCTGGTGGGCTCGGATTGGCCCACCAGCCAAGGAGTAGTTTGCTGAAGCTAAAACGTTCCAGTATCACCTCATCCTGCAAACTCAACATTATTGAATAGTTCCATCAGGATCCTGTTCACGGTCACTCGTGTCACTCGGTGGCTGCGCACGTCAGTGACCTCTCCCTCTCCTTCAGGTATCAAGTGTCCCGACGCGGAGCGACTGCCAGGGGCCCCGCCGCGGGCCCGGCCGAGACGAGCGCCGCAGTCCGCTGCTCTACCCTCCCCGAATTCACCTGAACGCGCAGCGGCTGCGCTGCGGCATGCCGGGAGAGGCAGGAGGGATGAGCTCGGAGAGAGTCACGGAGGACGCCACTCGGCATCAGCAGAGGAACGTCAGGACCGCCTTGTCCAGATGCAGAGGTGCTGACTGATGTACAGAGTTTTCCTGGTGTCCTATTAGCTCATTAATAAATCATCGGGGTGACCTTCGGTAAGATTCGGCCAATAAATATCTAAAAAGTTTTATTTGTTTTTAACCTCACTAACCATCTCATAATTTATCAAAAACCTTAGTGTTTTTTTTTTTGTTTTTATTTAGAGTTAATTAGATATTCAAACACATATGAAGTGAATAGAAAAATATAAAAACCTGTTAGCCCCCTTAATATGATACCCCTAAATTAAATCCAGTGGTTTCCAGAAATAGAGAACAGATTAAAAAAAAAATAATACAAAACTTGATGCAAAAAGGCATGCAAACCTCAACAAACGATCATTTTACAGTTCAAACATGTTTGTTTCCAGGAGACCTATGGAAAGCAGAAAGGAGACTCCAGTCACACAGATTGGACCCCTTCGAATCCATGGCAACATCGAACCAGGGCAAGACCCTCTTTACATAAACTGTTAAAAAAAAGACAATTATTTTTCATGTTTGGTGTTAAATCAGACACAAGTTTCCTGTTTTAGGTCAGGTAGGATTAACGGAAATATCTCCACATGCTCCATCTTAGAAGAATCAGAGAGACATTTCACTGAGATATGAGCTTGTTTTAGGTCAATTGTTCTTTAATACTGATGAAAAAGTATTAGCTATAAGTAATAATCTGCCAGTGGAGCAAGATATTTTAACTAATAAAAATGTCTTGTTAATCTTGTAGATTATTTTACTTATAACTATGGCTTTTTCATCAATATTAAGGAATATTTGTCTCAAAACAAACTTACATCTCTTGCTGAAAAGTTACTTTTAAGTTAATTTTGCACCAGAAACTAGACCAAAAATACTTTGTAAGATTTTGTGTTTTTGTGCGGTTTGGATTTGAGTCGTTACCTGAAAAAAAAAAAAAAAAAAACACGTCTACGGGTGTGTTTCTGGTTTACTGAAATGCAGTAAAAGTGAGAATTTGAAGAAAGCGAGTAAACATTTCTAAGAAAAAACAATCCCTCTTTTATTATTCTAGGAATGCAGCAAACATATAGTCCTAATTGACCTAAAACCGGAAACACACTGAGTCAGATTTAATGTCAAAAGCTAAGACCTGGTGTGTTTCTGCACGAAGCGAGTGCAAACGTCTGGTTTCAACCATATTTTGACCGTCGATCGTCTCCCAGGTCAGTGACACTCTCTCGCAGCCTGGAGCCTGAAACTTGCTGCGGTCCTGCAGACGGGGGGCCTGCTGCTCCCTGCGTCCCTCTCGGAACGTGCCCCGCTCTGCTGAGAGCTGCCCTGCGGGGGGAGGAGCGGCGGAGGAGGAGGAGGTGCTGCTGCAGTGCAACACTGATGCCAGTGGTCACCGACCTGGAGTACGATGCTTTCATTATGGGCCAACCTCTCGACAGTAAACAGATACTGGTGATGTGTGTCACCGCACCTCAGCGGCCGGTTAACGCACACACAGCAGGCAGGTGGGATGATTTGGAGGATCTCTACAGGAGGAGGAACGAGCAGAGGACCATGCCATGCACCCAGGTGTGAGAACGCTCTGCAGTGCCCTAAGTCAAAAGAAGATAAATGCGTTGCATGCGTGATCACACATGAATACCAAACTGAGTCTCTAATTTATCCAGAAGGGCATGCGTCACCATCAGGTGCCATCACTGTTGTCAACATCCAGTTCAATCAGCAGGAATTTTTATTGACGCTGATGCACTTTTTCAAGGATAGGAGCTGTGTTGCATAAACAAATGAACAGAAACTGACGCACAGACCAGTCAGCAGTTTAGAGAAAAGCCCTGTAACAGGTTGTTTCGTGTTTCCAAACCCCAGTGCCAGACGGACTCTTTTCGCCTGGTCAGGTACGAGATGTCAGACGGGATGGCGGGCTGTGGGCCGGAGAACGTTCTGCTGCAGCAGCGACACGCTGCCGCTCCTGGGATGTTCCTGGTAGGTGAAGCTCACTGCAGACTTTGCAGCAAGGCGGTGGCGTGCTCGAGCGCTGCAAGTCCTCACGGCTGCCACGTGGTGGCAGCAGCGGCTCCCGTGAGGGAGCAGTAATGAAGCGGTGTCTCACATTTATCCTGAAGATACTTTGAGGTGACAAGCATTAAGAAGAGCTGCCTCTTAATCACTAAAGACAGCGCTAATCTTTGGCCCAAAGTCATGATATCTGCTTGAATGATTTCTGCCGTGCAGTGAAAAATGACTCTTCTCTCCATAAATCAAACAAAAGTGACCAAAGTCAGTGCAGCATGAAATTGTACCGGCACTTAAATTCTGCAACCCAAGGGATCTTATCCTCAAAAAGAACTGCTATTAGCACATACACACACACACGCAGACACACACACACACACACACACACACACACATGTTTACACTGTGAAAAAAACTCAAATCTGCTTAATGGCTCTTAAATGAAGATGAAAATAAAAACTTTTTATATTGACCAGTTCTAATGGTTTCACATATTTCAACCCATTAAAAACACACAGTGGCTTTCAAAAATCTTTACATCCACAGATTTTTTTTTTATTCTTGTGCCATTACATTTATTATATTTAGATTGAGAAGTGGAAAAAAAAAATAACACAGAGTTTGTACCAAAATTTGTATCATTTTGGTACAAATGAAAATCTGAAAAGTGTGGTGTGGAAATGTATTTTGAGTCTCAAAGTTTTGTTCATTGGGCCTGAAGTTGAACTGGACTTTTCCAACATCTTTATGAACCATTCCATAGTAATTATCGCCACGCTCAAGGTCAAATTTCTGTCAGTCTGTTGGTTGCTTGTCTGGAAAATTTGTATTAAAATTTATATTAAAATATAAAATCTTTATTTTTGTGTGTGTGTGTGTGCGTGCGCCATAGATGTACCTCCAGGGGAAGCTGCTGTTTCTGGGCTACATACGCGGAGGTGACAGCTGCTCTGCCGTGGATCTTCAAAGGCAAATCTGCAGGACCAGGAGAGACTCCAGGCTGGGTCTGAGTCTCCCTGCGGACCACAAGTTCAGGTATCGCTTAGTGCCAACCGCGTTCACCCTGACTGGCAGTAAGGAAGGAGAAGTCACTCCAATTCGTCACCAGTACCAGAGAACTGTTGAGAAAATGTGGCCTCGTGTCAGTTTAAGCTATAAATAAAAGACGGGTTTAAAGCACATGACATTTTGACCAATGTAATTTTTTTTTTTGTTAATATCACAGTGATGTGGTAAAAACTCCTGCAGCCACAGAAGCATAGATTGCGTCAGAAGCAGAAGGATGTGACTCCAAGACGGCTGTTTCTGAGGAAGAAGGAAGAAGGAACTTCGCAACATACATGATTTCATCTATCTCTCATTTCTGCTAATGAATGTCACTAATTGGACATGCTATGCAAATATCTATGCCCTCTAAAACACTCTATTTTGGCTTTTGCAAATACTGATTTAAAAGTGCTTCCGAGATATTTCTGTACTTCAGAGTAAAATATGATTACATTAGTTCTGCTAGGTTTTGACTGCTTAATGTTACTCAAGAAACAGCAGCGATACTAAATACTAGTGTTATTCAAATAAAGGTAAAAACTTTGGTTTAGTGTTGGTGTTGTAGTTAAACTAAACCCAAAAGTATGTTTGTTCCCTAAAGTTACTCAAGCAAATGTAACTAGTTTCTTCCTCACTACTGATCTTCAAAAATAGTTCAAAAATAGTTCAATATACTTATAGTTGTATTTTTTTTGGTTCATTCAGTGTTTTTTTTCCCTGCACAATATGTGGATATATAATAAAGATGTGATATTAGTTACTGTGTTCTCTCTTTCTTCTTTTTTTTAAGAAAAAAATGTGAATTAATGAGCCATCCCAATAATAGCTCCCAGTTGTTCCAATTTGTATTCGACATGAGGCTGGAAGTTTACAATGAAACAAATGACAAAGCAGTTGTTTTGCATCAGCTGTTAGTTTTCATAGTTTTCCTTGACCATTCATACATTTTATGTCATAAGGTTCTTTTCTTCAGTAGGGACAGGGAAGATGGTCAGAGTACATGGGAAGACAGATGTGGCCAAATGCAGAATAATACCGGAAGAAAACATGCTATACTGCAAAATACTTTAAATTGGGGCAAAGGTGCCATTCCACCAGAACAACACCCTTAATTAAACATTCAGGCAGAGCTGTGGCCCAGTCAAAGTCCAAAATCTCTGTCAAGACTTGGTCATTTGTGTTTACAGATTATTGCCGTCTAATTGAACTGAACAGTTTTAAGAATATGAAAGAGCAAACATTTTTAGTCATAATATGCAAAGTTAGTAGAGACAATAGACTTCAGCATTGACTTTTCACATTTTAGATATAAAAAATGCAATCACGCATAATTTTTCCTTTTCTTTACAATTATGTGGTACTTTAATTGGCAAATGACATATAATCACAACAAAATACTTTGAATTAGATGGTTGCTCATGGCAACATACAAGTTTAAGGGGGTATATTACTTTTGCAAGTATAAGAAGATCTATTCAAATATAAATTATCCAGATCTTTTTTGTTTCACTTTGACAAATGTCTTTTCTGATCTTACCACTCTGTCGTTTTATTTCCTGTACATCATTTGAAGCAACTGATCAGCCTGCTGACAAATAGGCTGCGCAACGTGACGACAGCTCTGACAGGAAGAGAAGTTTAAACACTTTCTACTTCCCGCATCTCACGTAGAACGTAAAATGAAGGCGATCCCTGCCAGTCTGATTCCAGTCATATCTGTGGCTCCTTAGTCATACTGTTAATATTAGAACTGATGATCTATGTGGAAAGATATGAGGCTGGAAGTTTACAATGAAACAATGCGCTATATGAAAGTCATTTTAATAAACTATAATACGACAAGGAAGAGCCTGTAGGTTACATAAAGGGGAAAATAATGTTATGTTATATATATATATATATATATATATATATATATATATATATATATATATATATATATATATAATTTTATTTTTTTTAATTAATTAATTAATTTATTTATTTTCATTTCTTTTACTTTCTTGATTTCTTTACGCAGCTCAGTTTCCCTCCAAAGTCACTTTTCGTTTTGGTTGTTGCTGAATTATGAGCCCTCTGTCGCCCCCTGGTGGTGGAGGGAAACAAAAAGGAAGTTCACTAACGCGTCTCAGGTGACAGGAGCGGGTCCATTCTGCCTTGTCGAAATATTACGAGACCTGTTCGATCCAGAGACAGATAAAAATGTCAGCGTTTGACTCGGATAACCTCCGCTGAGCCGAACGCGGAGCGTCTCCGGACATGAAGGATTTGCTTTGGGCTCCAGTTTTCATTTTAAAGGCGAAGTGAATGAGGAGAGGTTGAACTCAGGTAAGTGACTGACTTTTTTTTTTTTTTTTTGGTAACGCTTTGATTGTGACAGCTGTTTCAACTGAACCAGTACAACCCGAAAAGATTAACTGCTCAGCTTAATTGTATCAATATTATACAGCTGAGAAATTAGAGTAAAGGTTTTAGTGCTTTCCCCGCCTCTGTTTTTAATCTGTGTTTTCTTAACTATAGTTAGAAATTAGCCACCTGTTATTTTACACGCTTATCCTTGTGGGGGTCGCGAGGACTTGCAAATTAAGATTTTTAAAAAACAATCCCGCTAAACAACCTTTTAAAGTATAGATTATCTCTCTAATTTAACAGACTGTTGGAATGAAACTATCAAATACGCACATGTAGTTTTTTTAATTCCTGAATGATTTATTCTAATTCAGGTGTTCTCAATGTGCCATTGTAAACAAGGAAGTCTGTGAGAGCTACATCCCTTTCTGTCAACATGGCAGAATGTTTTTCTGCCATGCACAGATGATTCTGGGACACTAGTTCAGCCAGATGTGCAAGTTTGTTTTGACACTCCCTGCACCCCTTCCTCTGCAGCTTGCCTCCAGCTCCTTCATCTCCCATTTCCACTCCTCCTCCTTTGCCTGTTGACATGAGCCATTAGTGGGATTACTGTGTTGTGGAGAGTGGGGTGGCTAAAGAAAACCATGTGATATTTAAACTCCTTTCATTGGAGCCCCTTCAGGTGGTTGTATATTAAGTTCTTTAGTAGTTGGGATTAGTAGATTTACAGAATGAGCAGTGAGGCCTATATATATATATATATATATATATATATGTATTTTTTGCCAAACAAGGGTTTGATAGTGCAACATTTCGACTGATATTATCTGGTACTTATATTTTATCTGATACACAGCTAAGAAGACATTATTTGTAACAGAACACCAAAATATAAAATTTTTAGGTGAGGAAATGCCCCTCCTTAACTTTGAGCTACATCATCGGACGATGGGGAAGGTTTGCAACTGATGGGATGTTTCCTCTGCCCTGCTCTTTGGAGGCTTTTCTCAAAAAAAAGACCCAGAACATGCTGGGAGGGCCGCACTGTATGTATATAACTCCTCTTGGAACAGTACAGCACATTATGGCTCCCCCCATACGGAGGTTGTTGCTGCCTCCAAAAGTTGTTCTAATTATTTTTTTCCTCACACAGTATGTCTGCCATCAGCTGCTATTATCTCTGACTTAGTAACCCCGTGGTTCCTTTGTTCTTCAGAGCATTTCAATTGGTTCACTGGTAATGTCAATGCACTGACTCAGTTTTCTTGATGTTTTTTTTTCCACCCACAGACTGCTCGCTTCTTGTTATGCTGTTACATCTTCAGCTAAAAAGTCTCCACAGGCAAACCGCAACTGAGAAAAGACATTTATCACTTCTTATCTGAGCATTTAGTATTAATGTGAGACATCTGGGCAACACCTGTCTGTCACGCGTTCAAATATTTTTCCTTATCTAAAAATGTGCTATTCCGTTACAAATTACGCTATATTCAGAGTTGTGCATCAGATACAGATAGAAATACTTCAAAATAATCTTCTTGTACTTTTATTAATGTCCAAAATAACGCTAAAGACATTGGCTTTACTCTTCTAACACTTTTGGCTATGAGTTGAACATTGATTTAGCCACATGCTAATTTGTCTGCAATATCTTTCTCTTAACTTATTTGCATACTTCTTTCCAGTTATGAGATTATTGTCTGGTGTTGTCATTTAAGCTCCCTGTCTACTTTTCTGTCCTCAGGCATGGAAAGGCCACCTGTAGCCCCCAAGCCAAAGTTCATTCCCAACCAGAGGCCAGTCTTGTTTCCTCTAGTCCCCAGAAGAGATGGCCTCTCGCCTCTGTCCCCTGGCCCTCCAAGAAAGGTTAAACCAGCGCTTCCCCCCAAACCCTGCCTGGCTAAACTTCTCTCTCCTACAGAATCCAAGCCCCCGATTTGGAAGAGCGTGCAACAAAAACCTGCTTTAGAAACCCATCAAAGAGTCGCTACTCTTAACTCTCACAATGGAATTTCACATAGTAAGAAGCCAGACTGGGATTATATTATTCCCATTTGCCTGTGCAACCAAAAAAGCTGCGCATGCATCAAGAACAAGAAGCTTGAGCAGGGGGAAAAAGACTTCAAATCATCACATGTAGGCAAGACAGAAGAAAAGCAAAAGACTGTTCCTATACCTCGGGGGTTTCAAGAAAACAACCGAGGGAAAACAAACAACACCAAGTCCCAAGTGATGAACAATTTATCAAGCAATGGTCACATCATTAATGACGATAAAATCACCAGGAACCAAAACCACAACTCTGACTCTTACAATCTCAGTACTGAAAACGGTGTTGGGCCATCTCCCAGATCATCAAGTGAAGGTATAGAGACCAGTGCAATAAGTCCAGACGTACATGGAACAGGACAAAAGGCTGGTAGCCTTGGCAAAGAGCAAACCAGTGCGTTACAACCCAAACGTCCCCCACCAGTCCTTAGGAAGCCTCACCCTGTCCCTGTTCCACGGAAACCCAGGAGAGGTGTCCCTGCCCATCAGGAAAAGGTGGAGAAGGACAGGGATGAAACTGCTGTCCAGGAAAAGAGGGAAGCAAGTGTCAAAGAGGTAGAGGTATCAACAGACGGAAAAGGATGCTCATCCTTATCCGTCAGCAAACCCGGCAATGAAAACAGGCCACCAGTGTTTCTGTCTGCAAGGCGAGCCTGTCCACCTCCAGTCCCTCCTTTCAGGAAAAAGCCTTTGCTGTCTAACCATTCGAACACACCTTCCCCTTCTGTGCAGACTCCGTCTAAGGACATGCGGGTTGAAGATTCAAGTAGGAGCAGCGGCATCCATGAGATAGAGTTATGTGTTGATGGTGAGGTTGATGAGATGCAGAAGAAAGTTGTGGATGATCAGGGAGAAAGTAACCGTATGCCTTTTCACACATTGCTTAAACAACCTGAACTCGAAGACCTTCCAACCACCATTTTTTCAGCAGAGGACAAAAGCATGGAAAACAAAACGGCAAGGAAGCATCGTAGAAACAACAGCTCTTTGGGACTCATTCAGAAGAAGGAAATATTGGAGGGTAAAGGTGTGAATAAGTTAGAAGACTTTGAGGCAAGGCAAGCCAGTACTATACCAGATGGAGTATCGAAGGAATTGATGAGACGGGAACTGCCTTTAACTCCTGATGAAAAACAAAGCAAAAAACATGCAATGGCTGGAAACAATAAGCCTTCTCGTAGTAGCACCGCCAAAAAGAAAGCCAAATCCTTTTCTTCTGCTGACCACAGTCGCTCTGAAGCACAGAGGGGAAATTCCTTCAAGAAAATGCTAGAACTGAAGCTCGTCAAGAAGACACCACCAAAGACGCCGGCAAAACCAGACCGGACTAATGAATCCACGGCGAATGATTCCATACCAGAACCTCACAGGGATCGTTTTGTACAGCAGAACTTCCCAGTATTTGTTGGCACCGATAACAATTTCCATCACTCACAAACCGACGTTGAACAGAGTGTTGACGGAGATGAGCTTTACCCTGAACCCAAGGAGTCTCCCGTCTATGAGACCATTCCTCTATATGACAATGTTCTACAATATGAGAATGTAAATGTGGGACAGGCTCGCTCTGATCCAGGTTTCCACACAGAAGGCTGGCCGAGATCTCCTCATGACGATGAGGGGATTTATGAGACACAGGACCCATATTTCTCTCTTGTGAAAAACTCAGAACAGGATCAGACACCAACAGAAT